ATTTTAGACATTAGAAGGTTAAAATTGACTTTTTAACAATTTGTTGATGCTGACATCAGCACACACCGTGAGTTACTTAACGGCTGGGGTAATTTGCTACACAATCCAAAACCTTAAGGGAGGTTGGTAGAATATTGAAACATAGAGGGAGTGAAAGTAGAATATGGGCAAATGTCAGGGGGTGTAGCTGGAATTAACCCAAAAAAAGAATTAGAAAAGAAAGGGACTATGAACAAAATACATTTTCAACATGGTATGGAACAAAAAAAAAATGGCTGTCTTTCTTCATGCCAACCACTTATATAATATAAAATCATTCCCATTAAGAAGAGAATATAGGTATTAATCATTCCCATCAACATTGAAAATGTAGCTAATGTTCCACTAAGTCATCTAAAACCTACTCTTTACTTGTAGAGATACATGACCACAAAATTTATATTGGAGGCGGCGAGGCGTACCTTTATGGTAAGTAAGTTGCCTATAAAAGGGCCCTCATTATCTATAGGATTTTAGGTTTTGTAAAGAACGAAGGTTCCAAGAATTCAGTCAAGCGGCGGCTCTCTCTGGCCCACTTAGTTCATCGCGTTGATGCCCAGAAGCATTACGAAGCCTGTCAAAAGGAGAGAAAAAGATATGGAAGAAATTTTGATTGGTTATAAGTTTCTTCCAACCGACAGTGAGTTGATTCAGTATCTTGTGTGCAAGGCGAAGGAAGAAGCCCTACCATGGGAGGGTGTTGTGAAGGACTGTGACGTTTATGGCAAGGAGCCCTCAGAGCTTTTTGAGGGTTCGGAAGAGAATGTTCTTTATTTTTTCACCAAGTTGAAGAAGAAGCACGGAAACGGGTCGAGGATTGATCGTGTGACGGCGACGATGGGTACATGGAAGGGGCAAGACAAGGCTAAACCTATAATAAAAGATGTCGATGGTACTACTGGTACCGGTGAGGGAGATGATCAAGAAACTGGCTTGATAGGAAGGAAGAGAACTTTTACCTATAGAATGAAATCGGATGCTAAGGCGGCGAAGGCCAAGAGTGGATGGAGCATGACTGAATATAATCTTGACGGCACTAATCTCCAAAGAGCAAAAGTAAGTACAGTGTGTGTGTATATATATATATATATATGTCTCTTATATTTTTTTTTTATCTTTTTAGAATTCAACAGTCTCTAAATAGTGATTTGATATGTTACTCAGGTCAAAGACTATGTAATTTGTCGAATTAAAAGGCAAAAGCAGGAAGAAATTAAGTTGGAATCCCAAGTTAAGGTGATGCAAGCGGAGGAGTGCAAAGTGACAGTAACTCCGGCACTTGAAGACTGCAATACCATCCCACATGCAATGGAACCCATATTACAAGACTGCAGCAACCTCATCACAGAAGCAATCGAATTTGATGGAACAACAGTACTAACGCAACCAGAAGAAGAAGAAGATTGCATGGATTGGTTGAACGATTTTGACTGCAGCAACCTCATCACACAATCAATTGAATTTGATGGAAAAACAGCACTGATGGAAGCTGAAGATTGCAGCAACCTCATCACACAAGCAATTGAATTTGATGGAAAAACAGTACTAATGCAAGCTGAAGACTGCAGCAACCTCAGCACACAAGCAATTGAATTTGATGGAAAAACAGTATCAACGCAACCAGAAGAAGATTGCAATTGGTTGAACGATTTTGCTACACAACTCCTCCAGAATCAAGAACATTTAGGAGACAGTGAAATACTAATGTTGCCCAACATTTTTTATGCAGATAGTTGGTCCCTCTCAGCTTGATTTAGATTGTCTACAATCAACTAGTGTACCCTGCTTTTAACTGTGTTTGGGTTATGTGTGTAACTTTGTGCAAAATTTTATAAATACATGAAGATAAATTGATTGTCAACCTTTAATTAAATTTTATCGAATATATTCATGTGTATGTGTGAGAGATGGGGTTTCACAAGGCTGATAGAATGAAATAATGGCAAGGGATAGAAGGCTTAAACCAAACCAGTCTCTACCAGTGAACAATTAGAAGGGAGGAAAAGCTGAAACCCTTACCATAACCTTTGAAAAGGTAATCACCAAATTTAAACTATTAATGTTAATTTTGACTATTAATCAAATTTAAAATGCCTGCCCGCCACCTTCTTCTTTTTTCATTCGCTAGGTAAACAGATTAAAAAAGCAATCAAATTGTTCCACCAAAGTTATATGGAGGCAATATATGACTTTTATTGAAGTTAAGTTGTTTATTCCAAAATGGACAAGCAAAGCCAAAGGCATAATACAAAGCCAGCAAGGCTACCCACCAGAAATCCCAAAAGAAACCCCAAAGTAGAGGAAGCAAAAAAACCTGCTGCAACTGACCTCAGTCCTCAGTAAAATGAAGAGGACACCATCAAGAACTGGAAATCACCTTTTGTTCCCGTTCCACTGATATAACCTTTCGTTCAGCTTCCACTGATATCACCTTTTGTCCCGATTCCATTGATATCACCTTTCCTTTAGCTTCGATTGATACCACCTTTCCTTTAACTTCCATTGATATCACCTTTCCTTTAACTTCCATGGAACATATCAAACAAAAAAAAATTATCATACCAAGTCTTTTTTTTTTTTTTTTTTTTTTTTTTTTCAAGTTACTTGATAGAAGAAAAATATATAAATTTGGATAGCAGAACATAGTAATAATATAAAAATCAACAACTATTTGTGTTGTATATATATATGAATCTTTAATTTTTTAAGTTAATGCAGTTAGGCAAAAGAGAAAAACACCTTAAATCAGGTTACAGGAGTGGCATTGTTTTCTTAGTTATATCTAGTTACAGTTTTGGAAAGAATATATATATATATATACATAGTTTTAGGGTTTTTGAAGACAAGGGCCGTAGATCGAGTGTATTTGGATTAATGAGGGTTAATCTTCAGAAATTAATTTAGCGCTTTTCTCCTTTAGCTCTTTTATTATTCCAGTGTTTTCAAAAACGTTTCTACAAGTCATGTGTTTGGAGGGAGAGAAAATTGGAGTTTCTTGATGTTGAGAGGAGTGTTGATGAAGTCTATGTAGTAACCTCTTTGCTTTATTTTGAAGGCCAAGGCCAAGAAGGGTGTCGTGTTCTTTTGCAGTGGTGGTGGTGAATTGGGTGTGATGTTTCTGGGTTTGTTAATGTGAGAGGAAGGTCATTTTGGTACATTGGTGTTAATAGGTCACGGATGGATTGGTAACTGTATATTGGTAAGTGAGGTTAAAAATATCATTTTAAACATTAGAAGGGCAAAATTGACCTTCAAACAATTTTCTCATGCTGACATCAGCATAATCCGTCAAGTACTTAACGGCAGGGGGCAATTTGCTACATAATTCAAAACCTCAAGGGAAATAGGCTGATTTAACTTCAAGCTGTTCCAACTTAGATTTTTTATTTTGTAATAGTATTATTATTATTATTATTATTATTATTTATAAGTTATCTATTTTATTCAAGAAAACACAGCACAGAATTGAAAAGGGCAACCCCCAATAGTACAAACAAGAACTAACCACAGCACAACAGCAAACCAACAGAAAGAATCAAACATTCCAGAAAGGGATGTATCCAACAGTATGCCTGTTGAATCTAGTTGCAGGAAAGGACAACATTTTAAGTCTAATAGAGTTGTAATTTGAAGAGACACAGAGAATTCATCCAAATAAGAATTAAAGTATCTTCCAGAGTTTGTTTCTCTCCAAATCATGTGGAGATTTTGCAAACTTGATGGTACCAATTCCTCTTAGACTGACAGTTGTGATTGCTCCATTCGAGAATCTCGAACAGCAATAGCAACAGACTCTTAGATCAAGGCATACTGACTTATAAAGAATAGATTATGAACACTTTCAACATTCCTTCTGCAAAGGATATATCGGTCTGATTGAGACATACATCATTGAAGGAGCTTGTTCATAGTGCTTAGTGTATCCTTAGCAGCAAGCCAGAGGATGAAACAGTGCTTTGGAACACCTCCCTTAAATCAAACAGCCCCACAAGTTATGGTTGAGTCTGACATCTTCATAAGCATCCTTAACTGAGAAGGGCTTATTGGAGCTGGACCAAACAACATCATTATTCCCTATCCTAGAAGGTACAGAGAGTTTGAGCAACCAAAGAACCAATATCCCAAATATTATCAGATATAATGTCAGCCAACTTGAGCATCTTTAGGAATACCAAAGTTGAAAATAACTAACTCTATGACCCTCTGAAAGAACAATAGCGCCACGTGAAAGCAGAGAATCAAACAATAAGGAGGTGTTCTGGCCTGAGTTACTACATACCCCATATGAAAATATAAATCACACCTTGTTGTGATCTTGATTATTGCTTTTAGAATGAGGCCAAACATTATAGTAAAATAGACTTTTATTTTCTGATTCAGATAAACGCATCAAAGTTAAAGTGCAATGCAAGTCCACACAAAGAATATAAGAGTTAAAAGTTATCTGCAACGATTTAGCGCACACAACAACAAATTCATGGCAGAAAATGGCATTAAAAGAAAATAAAATAAAAGGGAGTATGAACAAAATACATTTTCAACAAGGCATGTAGAAGCTATTGAACAAACAAACTGGCTTTCTCCCTCCATGCTACCAATTCTATCATATAAAAATCATTCCAGGTAAGAAGAGAATATAATCCAGGTCAAGTCTCATACGAAATGAAAATTAGTCACAAATGAACCATTAGTGGAGCTAAGTACATCATCACTCTAAAGTGTTAATTGCATCCCTGTCCAAGTAGTGAAAGCAACTGAGGTAACAACAAAATCAACATTGAAACTTTAGCTAATACTCCACCCAGTGCCTTCCACACAGATATGTCATTAAACTAGCATTTGACATTCATATACATGTCATGCAGGAAGGACTACTAATAGGATTAAAAAAAAGTGGGGTACATATATATATATATATATATATATATATCTTGCCTGCTCTTTCTATTGTTTCTTGGTTCTTATAATTTTCTTGGTTCCTCCAACTCTGTTCTTGGTGCCTGCAACAGAGAAGAGCGTGCTTGCTCACCGAAGCCTCCATGTACTTTGTCAATTAACACTAAGCTCTCTGTGTAAACATTGACACAAAATGGCTCATCATATCCACGCATCCCAACATTCTTGAACTCTTGAGTCTTAATGTCAACTGAAACCATCTCCTCATCTTTAGTCAAAAGAACTTCACCATTCCTCTTCCAGCCAATAACTTTCACAGAACCTTCTCTATCAAAATCAAGACCAAACAGATTGGTCCACGACTCCACAGCACCATACTGTTTCATCATCCAGATTGATACTTTGCCATAATAATCATTCTCGAACACAAAAAGTGAGTCTTGAAACACTGCAATAGACAACCTACGTGGTGCCTTTTTATAAACTAGACTCCTTGGTAGCTCCATCAAAGAGAATACCTGAGTACCCAAATTGAATGTCACAATGAACGGGCCAGGAAAATTACCACCTCCGGAAAGCCAATGGATAGTCCCATTGAGAGAAACTTGAGATGAATCACAACAGAGAGGGAGTACGGGACCAGAAACACTAAGGTTTCTCCAACATCCCTCCTTAAGCGAATAAATGTCAATCTCAACAATGCTATCATAGAGGTAAACAATTCTAACCACTTTATAGTCATTGTTTGTGGAATCTAATCCGAATCCAAGAGCACACTGATAAAAGCCGTGCGAAAGGCAGTTAATGCGAGGTTCTGGAACTAATACAAATTTCCTAATACTGGGGTTCCACAGATATCACCCTCAAATTGGATGGCAAGTCAAATTGATACTACCTTTAAATATTTTCCTATTTATCAACTCAAAAACTCAACAAAACCTTATATTCCAAAAACTTGGAGTTGGGTTACACATGGAATTTTGTCATACAGCTTTATTAGGGGCTTTCCATTCTCATAAATCACACTTCATCACATACTTTCTCATCAGGGGATAAAAAGAATCACATCTTTTCTACTCGATCCGACAGCCTTCTGGTCTTCATCTTGACCTTGTCATTCCTTCCAAACTTAAATTGTACCTATGGTCCTTGTTCAATTGGTGGCATTTCTAGTTTGAAGTCTAGTGCATATGTGAACATTTCCACTTTTTTTTTTCCCTGAAGGATATAAGAAAAATTACATTTTTATTAGGTCATTATAATTATATTTTACAATTGTTCATGAATCCACTCTACATAAGGGCATTTCAAACCTAGGCCAACTGAATCTCACCCAACTGGGTGGATACTAAATGAACTAACGCTCATCTTCTATTATTCATCATATAGAACTGACAAGCTACCCACAATAAAATAGCAGGATTCAACTCCTAGTTCTTAATAACCAATTAATATTAAACAGATAATAAACAAAATACACAAAACTTCGGAAATGCACATACATTATTCATTTTTGTTAATGACCAAACTATTACAATACCTTGTTTCCTATACTTAAAACCATCATATATAGACATAAAATATATATATATATATATAGATAAATAAACACATACACATACACATACACAAACCGAAAGAGAGAGATACCTGGGAGAAATTGTGGAAATGGGAGGAGAAGAAATGGAAGATTTTGTCGAGAAGTGGGTTTGGGGAAGCGAATGTGTCTAAGAATGTGAAGCAATTCTCAGCGGTGGATACGATAGAGCTATGGAGATGACGAACAACGTTTACATTGAATTGGAGGTTGGGTTTAGAGTGAGAGGACTGCGTGAATAACTGGGGAGGGAATGGGGTGTGAATAAATGGGAAAGAAGCGTCCATTTCTTTCTGGGCTTTGGCGCAAATGGCTGTTTTTTATTTCACCTATTATTAAGAGGAGATTGGGATATGGATGGAAAAAAATAAAAAATTAGATTTTTTTTTTTGTTTTTATCAATACCACGTAGTAGACCTTCTGTGCGTGTGCCTCTGTGTGATAAAACTGAAATTTTGAAATTCTAACCCATTCCTCAATTTAGTCAATGAATTTTTTATTCTTTTGAATAGACACAAGTTTGAATGCCCACTGTATAAAAGAATATTAATATATTTGTATGGCATTTTTAAAATTTTATTGTATCCTCTATATATATATATATATATATATATATATATATATATATATTTGTATTGTATTTTTAAGAATTTATTGTATCATTGTACTTTTATTTATGAAAGAAGATACCCTTTAACAATTCTTTTTATATTTTTAAATTACAAATTAAGCAGGCTCTAATTTCACAACAATAAAAATATATATTTTTACATTTTTAACCAAATCATTTTGTCAAAATACATTTTTTTTTTGCTAGCTTGCCCCACCAAGCACATTTTTTGGGTAACAATCTAACCCAGCTATATAATCTATGCCAATGTACGCTGCTCAACCAACTCCAAAATCAAATTTCCTCCATTCTTTGTAAAGAATTTGCAAGCATCAATTGTTTTATTACTTCTGCTGTCACATTTGAATTTGCGTGAGTAGGGTTTGAATTTAGTGTTTGGACTTTTTTAAGCTTCAGAAGTCCCAAACTAAGAATTATATACAAGATGGAGAAGAGTATAGAATGATAACAAATAATGCAAATTTGGTATCTCCAATGATAAAAATACTATTTATGTTTTACCAGTCATACCGCATTTTTGGCATGCCTAGTCATTTCCTTTTAGAGGTACCGATAAAGATAAGTAATAGGGATCAAGGATATCTTGGAGCAAATGAAAAACATGTATCATCCCATTAAACTTATCTCACCTTCTCATAGAAACGGCAACGATTGCATCCGGACACTCGACTATCTCACAAGACTGTGAGCCCTCACCACAACAGCTGTGGTGACGAGCATACCCACGTGTCATCAAGTATAGAAATTTTCTCATATAAAATGCTTTCAATAAGTTGATGCGGTAAATTTTTATTGAATAAAAATAATTATGACATGATATAGTGACACACCCAATAAGGGCATACAATTTTGAATCAAGAGGGAGTTAAAAATTGGGATTTATCCGTGAAGAACCCCAAATACCATATTATCCTCTCAAGTCTAAGCAGTTGGGATCTTTTTCCCAATTGCTAAACTTGAGCTCATTTTTTCGGGCTTTCAATCTAATTTCAAGCGAGTTTGAATAATGGGCTTAAAATTAAATATTTTGATTCTATCTAGATAGAATGAATGCCTAGACAAACACAATGTAAAATAAATAAAGATAACAAATTTAGACTGCTCTGATATACAGCTATGTAACACATTCTTACAAGATGATATCTGAGATGAAAGGCAAATACAAACATAAGTTTATATATTGGAAGAGTTTTTACATTTTTTAAATAATTAAAGAGAAATGACCTATCCTGGGCTACTATTCCTGAAAGGTACAAAGGTCATAACTGCAGCTTAGTTCCAAGATTTGGGAAACAAAATTTGCAACTAGATAAAGAAAACAATTACTGCATACCCCACATGAAAATATAATTCACATCTTCTTGTGATCTTGATTATTGCTTTTAGAATGAAGCCAAGCGGTATGCTAAAATGGACTTTTATTTTCTGATTCAAAGAAAATCATCAAAGAAAAAGTGCAATGCAAGTCCACACAAAGTATATAAGATGCAACAAAAATTCATGCCAGAAAATGGCATTAAAAAAAAAAAAAAAGCGAGGGAGTATGAACATAATAGATTTCAACATGGCATGTAAAATCCATGGAACAGATATAATGGCTTTCCTTCTCCATGCAAGCCATTTCTATCATATAACATCATTCCCACCAAGAAGAGAATATAATTCACGTAAGCAAAAAGTTAAAAAAAAGCTTATACATTTTTGACACAATTGCTTATTTGTCCATTGGTGATTGGTCCAAGACCATGTGATAACTTCTCAGTGATTATATGGTGCGTGCTCTTTTTCTATTGTACATTGGTTCTTCTAATTTTCTTGGTTACTCCAACTCGGTTCTTGGTGCCTGCAATAGAGAAGACCTCCCACTCGGTTATTGGTGCCTCCAATAGAGAATACTATGCTTGCTCCCCAAAGCCTCCATTTACTTTGTCGATTAAGACAAAGCTCTCTGTGCACAAAATGCATGTCCATGTACTCCAAGATACTTGACCTTTTGAGTCTTATGTCAACTGAAAGTAGCCTCATTTCTTATAAGAACAACATCGCCATTCCCCTTCAAGCCAATAATAACTCTCACATAAGCTCCTCTACCAAAATCATCGGAATTGAACAGATTGGTCCACGACTCCACAACACCATATTGTTTTATCGCCCTGATTGAGATGTTGCCTTCCAGAGGATCATTATGCAACACAAAAAGTGAGTCTTGAAAAACTCCAAGAGACATAAAACGTAGCCACCTTGGTAGCTCCATGGAGGAGAAAACCTTGCTACCCAAATTGATGTTAGGAATTATGTCTCAAATTCCCATTATTATTAGTTTCTATTTTAGAGTGTAATTTTATGGTAATTTCTTATAGAGACTTGAATTGGGCTCTAAGAAATTGTAATCCTTATCCACAAAGGAATTGGGTATGTGACTCTATAAATAGACACTTAGGCTATCGTTAAGAGTTATGAGTTGAGAGAGATGTAGCCTCATGAGGGAGTACGATGATGGTAGGGGTAAGTTACGGGTTTGGTAGAGTGAACACTGATGGCGGGAGGAAGTCTCGTGGCGTACACAGAGAACTCGGTCAAGAGTTTGTGTGCATAGTCCGGTGTTAAAATTCTCTACTATTGTAATATCTTTACATATATAATAAATCTCTTTTCATCCGTGGATGTAACACTGATTTTGGGTGAACCACGTATATATCTTGTGTTGTGGTTTGAATTATTTTTTCTTTTTTTTTTGCCTTTTGCTTCCGCTGTGTCCCAACAACTGGTATTAGAGCCAAAAGTGAAGGAGATCCAGAAAACACAAGAAGTCTCAACATGTGCTACAACGGGCTTCAGTTGTAGGTGAAGTCAATCGGCTTGATTACATGGCATGGAGCTTGAGAAGTCAAAGTAGAGCCTTGGGGTTTGACTGATTGAGCAATGTATAGTGAGGGGATAATCCGAGTTCTGTAATAAGATCGCGAAGATTGAAGTTGCAGAGAGTTGTCCAGATTCAATTGCCATAAGAAGCGATGATTGACGTAATGGAATTTGAGCCAAGGTGGAGATTGTTAGGAATTATGTCTCAAATTCCCATTATTATTAGTTTCTATTTCAAAGTGTAATGTTATGGTAATTTCTTATAAAGACGTGAATTGGGTTCTAAGAAATTGTAATCCTTGTCCACAAAGGAATTGGGTATGTGACTCTATAAATAGACACTTAGGCTATTGTTGAGAGTTATGAGTTGAGAGAGATGTAGCCTCATGAGGGAGTACGATGATGGTAGGGGTGAGTTACGGATTTGGTAGAGTGAATACTGATGGCGAGAGGGAGTCTCGTGGCGTACACAGAGAACTCGGTCAAGAGTTTGTGTGCATGGTCCAGTATTGAAATTCTCTACTATTGTAATATCTCTACATATATAATAAATCTTTTTTCATCCGTGGATGTAACCCTGATTTTGGGTGAACCACGTATATATCTTGTGTTGTGGTTTGAATTATTGTTTTCTTTCTTTATTTTGCTTCCGCTGTGTCCCAACAATTGAAAGACACAATGAACGGGTAACGATCACCGGGCTCAGAAATCCAGTGGATAGTCCCATTGAGAGACGCATGAGATGAATCAAAACGGATACAGGGTATGGTACTAGAAACACTAATTCTTGTCCAACAGCCCTCTTTAAGATAATAAATGTCAACCTCAGGGTCACTAGAAACATAAGCAATTTTGGTAAAAGATTACGAAATTATTTTTAGTGATGAGAGAACATCATGATTTGCAGACGCACGTAATTTGCATAAGTATTCTCACCGGCAGTCTTAGAGTTTTTAATTATTGAATTATAGATTTGCCCCCAAACGGGTATGCTTAGAATTATGAAACAATTATTTTGACAGGATGTATCAAAATTAAAAGTTATTAATACCATACTATAAGGGGAGCGCCCCGGTGAGAATATCTGATAATTTGTACTCATATTTCCTTTGTTTTATAATAAAGATAGATAGATACAATTTAGAGAAAGTGTAATCCAATTATTCCCAAATTTGCAAACTTGAACAACAACATTCCGTACGTAATTGTCAAACTATTAAATTGGCCCATTTAAATCATTAAAGTATAATATTAACATTTATAAGTCTTTTTATTTGACCAAAATGACCCTTTGAAAAAAAAAAAAAAAAAAAAAAAAAAAAAAAAAAAAAAACAAACCACCACCGAACTCCACCATTGTGACTGCCAAACAAACAAGGGTGGAGCCAAGAATTTTTAAGGGGGTAACTAGTAATGTAAAATTAAAATTTTAAAATAATATAAAATCATTATAAGAAAAATTTTTCTTTCCAAGTTTAATACGCTCGCTGAAATAGATAGATTAATTATATTATCTAATACTTAAACAAAATTCTAATACAAAACTCTTATTTTGCATTTCAAAAAGTAAGAAATATGATTTTTAAATATATATTTTTTATTATTCCGTAGTAATATATTAAATATTAAAAGACCATTTTTAATAGCCATATATTAAATATCACACATAAACTAATCTTTTTATTTCTTAGTGTTTACTGAAACATTATTTACACAACATGTCACATTTTTCTTCTACAAAAACAAAGAAAAAAAAGAAAAAAAGAAAAAAGAAAAAAACAGGTCACAATGCAA